TGCATGCACAAGATGTCCTGCCCTCCCTTCCCCCTATCATCCCTCCCCTTTCCCCACCGCCGAGGTTCGTGTGAGGGGGTGTGCCTGTTTGTAGCATGCGGGGGCAGCGCTGGCAGCAAGCTGCGCAACATCAGCCGCAGCGCCAAAGCAGCAGCAGCAGCAGCGGCACGCGGCAAGCCGCGCAGAATCAGCAGCGGCTGAAGGGGAAGAGGAACCAGGCGGGAAGGAATAATAACAAGAGACATATCCCCCCGTCCCCTGTATTCCCCCCGTCTCGTCCGACCCGCTTTGGCTTCGTTGCGAGAGGCCCGGGACGTCCTCAGAGACGAGAGGCAACGTTAGGGAGGAACCATCTCAGGGGGAAACATCAACGTTGTATCGGCGATGCATCGCCAATTGATCGGCGACAGGTCAACGATGGCAAATCCGCAGACTCCTGGGTGGGTTGGGGCATTGAGGCCCCAATCAACCATCAATGGGCAATTCGGGGTTGATGCATCCCCCCTGAACCTATCCCTCCGTAACGTTGCCCCTGACTCTCCTCTCGTCTGACCCGCTTTGGCTTCGTGGCGAGAGGCCCAGGACGTCCCGCGTGATGAATTTTCGGAGCTCCGCGCGGATTTCTTGGATCGGCGCTGGCCCCCCCTCCTGGCGGCGCCTCCAGCAAAGATTCCAGAAACCCGCGTGCAGATCCAAGAAACCCACGCGGAGCTCCACAAATGCATCTTTATGCCAAGGGCGGAGAGCAGAAAACCCACCCTCATAGTAAACACCCCGACAAGGGAAGCCATTCAGTCAACGCACCCAAGGAAATAATCGAACAAGGCAAGGCTGTGTTTAGTAAACGGCCAGGGCCGATCAATTAACGCCAATTATCAGGGTCGGGGCGGTCAACTGACCCGGGACGTTCGGAAAGGAAACGCCATCTCGGGGATCTACCGACCCAGATCAGTCCACACCGGGGTCAATCGGGCTCTGCAAAATCCTGCAACATCCTGCAAGATCCGGCAGGATCCTGCGCGTTAATTCGGGTCACTGCGCCCCTGACTCTGCAGCATCCTGCAAGATCCAGCGCTCTGTTTGACCCCCGTTTGCATTGACCCCCGTCCATGAAGCCCCGATCGCCACTGCTGCGGTCGTCGCTGGCAGGGGGGCGCCTTCACGCGGCAGGGGCCTCCGCGGCCACCGCGGGGGCGGCAGGCGCGGCGGCCGCCGGCGAGGCCACGGGGACCGACGCCTGCGCAGGCCTCGGGGCCGCCCGCCGCGGTCGTCGTCGTCGTCGTCGTCGTCGTCGTCGTCGTCGTCGTCGTCGTCGTCGTCGTAGTCGTCGTCGTCGTCGTCGTCGTCGTCGTCGTCGTCGTCGTCGTCGTCGTCGTCGTCGTCGTAGTCGTCGCCGCCGTGGTCGTCCCCGTCGCCGTCGTCGTCGTCGCCATCGCCGTCGTCGTGATGGTCGTCGTCGCCGTGACCGTGGTCGTGGTCGTGGTGGTCGTGGTCGTGGTCGTGGTCGTGGTCGTGATCGCGGTGGTGGTCGTCGTGGCCGTTGTCGGGGGAGGAAGAGGTTGGAGGGGTAGGAGGGGCACGGGAAATGGCAGGAGGAGGGCCTCCTACTGCTTCCTCCCCTCCCCGCCTCCGCCCTGCTGCCCCCCCTCCTCGTCGTCCCTCCTCCGACTCACCCCGCGTTTGACCGCGCCCTTGCGCGCGCGGGGGGTGCGGAAACGGGGGGGGTCGAATCGACCCCTTGGCTGAACACCCCCGCCAAATTGTTGCTCGAACGAACCGACCAGGCCTTCCGATACTCCACAGCCGCACCTTCGCTTCGTCCGACCTGGATGATCTGCTCGTCCCCGGGCCCCTTCCTTGGTCGCTGCCAGAGAATGCTTGGGATTGCCCTCGCAGCGAACGCAGAGGGCGGCTGCCCGCTCTCAGGGGTTCTTGGCAGCTCCTCGAGCGCCCCCTCCCCGCAGGAGGCATGCGGGGGACGCAGGACTTTCCGCTCCCCCTCGTCGCCCCCCGCTCCCGCCCCTCCCTCCTCGATCCCTGCGAGTTCACCAGCTTCCGAATGCTTTCTTTCCTGGCTGTTTGCCCCCCCGAAGGTGGGCGGGCGGGGCTTGCGTTGCTTCCAGCATCACATGCGCGATGGCCCTGGCGAGCCGCCTGGGGTACTGGGCGGACCCTCGAGTCCGCTTGACGACTGCGCCTGGGGCCGCGTTTTCCAAGGCGACGCGCTGGCGACAAGGACTTCTTCCCAGGCGGGCCCGCGCTAGACCGCACGAGAACAGGAGAATGTCAGCTGAGATAACCAACGACTAATTCTCGCGTTGGCATTGACGGCCCGCGCGGTCGCCCGAGGGCTCGAGGCCCCACGCGCACGTGGAGCCACGGAACGTGGCCGCCTCGGCAGAGCGGAGGACTCGCTGGAAGCAGGGGGGGTCGGAGACGTTGGGTCAACTCTGCAAAAGGGCCTGGTTCTCAAATCTAACGGCCTTCCCCTGATCGCGCAGACTGCACGCGCGCGCATGCGATCTTCGCGAAAATGCTTCCCTCCTGCCCCCCCGCCTGTCTCGTTCTGGTTGCTCAAACGTCCGGGTGCCCGCGGACGTATGGTGGTCACTGGGGGAGATGCAAGGGTTGTCGAACATCCAGATGCTCGCCGCCCCTGGTCAAGGGGCGCGGCCGGTTTGGCAGCGTCACGGCGGCACCTCCGGCCCTGGGCGCTGCCCGGGTGGGCGCTGACCCAGTCGGGTCGGCGCTGGCTCGCGCCTTTGGCCGCTTGCGTGGCCCATGCGACGCCCGCGAAGGCATCCCTGACATTTGGGCCCCGGGCCGCCGAGCGCCTGTGGCCGCCCTTCCACGCGCAGGAAGAGGGGGCCTCCGAGTTGGAGGGCGGCCTCGATGGCGCCGCGCAGCTCCTGGCGGGTCGACCGGGCCCCAGGCAGGGCGCCCTCCTCGCTGCGGACGGTGTCGCAGTGCTTACATCGGACATGCTGCTCGGCAGATGCTGCGGCGCCTCCTCGGCCCTCCTCCGCGCCCCAAGCCTCTCGACAATCCATGGCCTGTTCTGGCCCCCGGGGCCCCCGAACGGACTCCGTGAGCCCTGCGTCGCCCGCGCCGACGCCTGGGGGGTGGCGCGCCTGCGAACGTGCGCAATGCATGCAACGCGTGCGAAGAGGTTCGGGGAAACGCTCTGCTTCGCCAGTCGAAGAGGAGGGATCGGCCAAATTCCCTCGGGGGGAGGGCCTCCCCACCAGCGACACAAAGCTCAAACATAACTGGCTTGGAACCTCGCGCTCCAATGCAGTTGCACGGGCGAACCAGTTGCCCAGTACCGTTCGGCGTCGCGCGGCCGCGACCCCTGGCGCGCAAGTTGCAGGCCGCCCTCGCCGTCATCGAAGGTACGGTCCCTGCTGCTGACCTCTCGGCCCTGGCGGACCTCGAGCGTGCGGCGTGCGAACTCTGCGTCGACGTGCTCGGGCCAAGCATCGGGCAAGGTCGCCTGGATAGGCGCGGGGTATTCTTTCGCGCGCCTGCGCCTGGACGCGCCCGCCCCACGGGCCCCGCCCTGGCGCGGCGCTACGGCCTCCCTGGATAGGCGAGCGCGACGCCAGGTGGACGACGGAGCAGAACAGGGCCGACTTCTACTGCGAGGGGCGCCTCCGTGGCCCGTTCAAGCACGACAAGGGGGCGTGCGTCAGCAAGCGGGCCCGCCAGGTCATCGCGGTCAACAGGCTGGCGGAGTACTACCAAGGGATGGACCTCACCTGGCTGCGAATTTGCTGCTGGACCACGAAGGCCATGGAAGAACGCCGGCCCATCCCGGAGGGCGTGGAATTCAAGGATTGGAGCAACGATCGCCCCGGCGACATGCCGGCGCGCGCGACGCGCGAGCTGCCGGAGCTATGCCCAACGCTGGCACCCACGGCATTCACGCCCCTGGAACAACTCCTGGGCTCACTGGACAGCGAGATGAACCCGCTCAAAGCGGGTGCCACGCTACCGGCCAGCAGCGCGAACGACGACCGCGTGATCCCCCACTTCCACAAGAGCAACGTCGGCATTTGGCGGCGCGACGGCTGCCCGCCCAGCACAGAAGGGCACAGATGGCAGCCCGGACAGCCCTTCCATGGCATGCGCGGCCACGCCGGTGACCCTGCAGGCCTCCGCGCTGGCCTAACCCTGATTCACGGGCTTCCGCCCGTCCAGCTCATGAAGGAGATGTTCCTGTCCAAGCGCTGGCACGCAAGCTGGTGCTGCAAGGGCTGCCTGATCCACCAATGGGATATGGCCCCATCCGCAGTGCAACGCGTGCTCGACAGGTGCGGCCCTGCGGTGTGCCCTGGCCGCGGAGCCAAAACCCTCGCCTCGCTACCCGGCATCCCTGCCGCCCCCACAAGGGTTGCACTGCGCCCCAGCCACCGGGGAGTGCAGCGGCGGGCTGCGGCCTGGGATGAGGAGGCGCGCGCCCACCAGGGGCGCCTTCGCAGCGCGCCGCCGCCCCCGCCAGAGGATCGAGCAACGACGCCATGCCTGGGCGCGAAGGAGACGGCCAGGGAGACGCACGCAAAGGTTGTGGCGCAGATCAGGGGCCAGGGCGCTGGAGGGACACGCAGCGGCGAGACCAAGCACGCGGGCGCAACTACCATCGCGCCAGCTCAGCCGACGCCGCAGCTTGCGACCAGCGGCGGGCCCCAGCAGGACGAGCCCCCCCGGGTGGGCGGGCGCCGCGCCCGCGCCCCCGACCAGGCAGACAACCCAAGGCCCATCAAAGACCGGCGCCTGACGCCCGCCGACCTACTGCAGCCCGCGCCGCGCGGCAGCGACCCGGCCCCGATTCTTTCCACTGCGCGACCCGCGGCTGCCGAGTCTGTGGGGGCCCCGCCGACTGCCGGCGCATCTCCTGATCCTTTCCTGGAGCACGTGGATCGCGCCCGCCGCGACCGGCGGCCAGGGCGAGCCCCAGACGAACCCCTCCAAGGCCCCCCCCGCCCGATCGCAGCGGCCAGCCCAGACATCGAGAGCGGCGACTACGCGGCCATCAGGAACGAGTCCCTCCCCCGAGCCAGGTGGTTCAAATCAGCGCAGAGCACTGCGCCCCTGTTCGCGCAGCCCCCGGACGGAGCAGTGCTCGGACCAATCCGCGATGTCCAGGCCCGCGAGAAGGGCGGGGGGAACCCTGATCGTCCAAATCGGCAGCGGGTGGCTCGACGTCTGGGGTGCCGGGGCCAAGACGTTGCGCGCCGACGTCCTACGCGGCAATGCGGCGCGCCGTGCAGCCGCCTTCCTGGATGGGGCCCCCGGCAAGGCACAAGCACCGCAGGAGCCAGCGGCCCCTGCCAGCTCCAGGCTCGGCGCCGACCGTGGAAACGCCACAGCGGCGTCTGCAGAAGGGGCTCAACCCAAATCCAGGCCCCAGCCCCGCGCGCCGCGCACGGTCGCGCGGTGCATCATGCACGGGCCGCCGCCGCGCGGGCGCACCGAGGAGGAGATCCCCGACTGCGCCAACGACGACCAGGAGAAGGAACAGGCTCAAAGGCTGGCGGAGGCTGCAGGCACGGTCCATGCGGTCTCACCCTCCCCAGACCCTGGAACACACAGGCAGGGCCGCGCTGGGGCGACCCCGCGGGAGATGCGACGCAACAGTCCTGAGCGCGACACCGACGTGACACGCCAGGCCCGCCAGGCCCGCGCATCCATGGGACAGGCCGAGCTTGCGATGGCCGCCGCCGACGACCGCGCCCTGCACGCGCGGCTCAGGACTGATGCCGCAGGAGCCCGGCGCGCCGCGCACATCCCCCACCCTTCGCGCGAATGCGGTCGCGCGCGCGGCAGGGGGAATGACCCGGATCCCTGGGGCCGATGCGACAGCGCGGCGAGGCGCTCGCCCAGGGGTACCAGCGATCGGGGCCGAGCCAGAGAGCGCGACCGCGACCGGGGCCGCGGTCGCGACAGGAGCGGGGAACGCCGCCGCCCTCAGCACAACCGCCCCTGGGAAGACAGCCGCGCCAACTGGCCGCGACGCCCGGGCGAGACGGCGGCCGCCCGCCTGAAGAGGCTGAAGGCCGAGGGAGGTTACTATTTCACCGCAGTCTCGCACTCGCGGTGCAGGCATACGGGCCAGGAACGAACGGGGCAAGACCAAAGGCCAAGGCAAGTTCGAACCGACCTGTTGGCAGCCCGACATGATCGACCGACTCCTAGAGGTAATGGCCAACAACCACTACGACGTGGGCAAGTGGCCCCGGAACACGGG